AATAAAAGCTAAAAGTAGCAAAGCAATAGCTAAATGCAACAAAATATCAACAAAGAGCTAAATAAAAGCTAAGTAGCAAACCACTAGCTAAATGCAGCTAAATGTTTACAAAGAGCTAAATAAAAGCTAAAAGTAGCAAAGCACTAGCTAAATGCAGCCAAAGGTTAACAAAGAAGTAAATAAAAACTAAAAGTAGCAAAAGACAAACGAGTTAAAAGCATCAGAAGACCAACTTAAAATATTGAAAAGCTAGCTACCACCTAAAAAGTAGCTAAATTCAAGCTAAAAGTAGCATAATTCTAGTTAAAAGTAGCTTAAGAAGAAAAAATGTAGAGCTGGTATGCTGCAGTACTTAAAAATTACATTTTTACAGAAATTAAAAAGCTGCCAAAGCATTTCTATATGAAAATATTTGTAAATAAAGTTGAGCTGGTTTGATAAGTATAAAAAAAGACACAAATCAAGTGTCATAGCATTACTGACTTCCAGAGCGAGCTGAATGTTTTGATGAAAAACTAAAATGTGTAAGCAAACGTGGTTCGATTGCAACAAATCTTACAGAAACCCATTGACAGGATGAAATAAAGCGAGTGGAGCTTTCCTTTGCACCACTTGAAGAGCCACGTGAGCTTTTTGCACCTTGTAGTAGTCGTAGAGCAGCCCCAGAGCCGCTGCACTGTCCTCATCACCGTTGATGCTCATCATGGCCTTGGTGGCAGCGGTCAGCGGGTTCTCCAGGTACCATGTTTCATACTCGCTGCTGAACACTCGGCGGGAGGCTGCAGACACCTCGTTTGGCACCACCACCACCAGTCGTTTACTGTTGACACAACAGGAAGCGGCTCTGCTGTTACAGCAGCCATGGAGTGAGAGAGAGCCCAGAGCCTCAGGCTGTTTCTCATCAACCTTCAGTCTCATTACTGCACGAGGTGTGCACCTGACTAACTGTTACGCACCGCTGGGAAACACAAAGGTTGTGCACAACGAGACATTGTCTGAGGGCCGTTTGCTACAGCTACATTTACAGAATCAGCAAAGAAGCATCTAACTGGGTCTGCAGCCTGTGGCTCCGGGGCCACATGTGACTCTTCTGAGGTGGCTCCATGCAGCTTTGACTAACCATGAACCAGAGTCATTTTGATTCAGAAACTTACAAGAAAACAAAAAAAAATATACATCATTTTTCAAGTTTACGTGTACATGAAAGTTTTGCAATTTTTGAAATTTCTGCAGAAGAATCTCCAAGAATTAAATTAATTTTGCTTTTTTTTCTCCACAAACATGGAAAAAACTCAAATCTGCATCACAAGAAAGTTTCAATTCTGCAAAATCACTTGTTTCTTCCTGCGCCTCAACACTTAAAATACTTTGTAAAAAAAAAAACTATTTAAAAACAATAGTATGACTCAATTGATTAGTTTATTTAAATAAGTTTATTGAGGTTTTATTTAATAGGTTTAATGTGTTAATTATTTTTATGATTAATATCCAGTTGATTATTCTAATTTAATAAGTTTAATGAATTGATGTAATGTTTTGATGCTGCTGGACTTTCCATCCATCCATCCATCCATCTATCCATCTCAGTAGAGATGTTTGAATATAAAGGTTGCTTCTCCTGAGCAAATCTTAATTTTGTATAATTTTACTGTCTGAAATGCACAGAAAACCTTTTCGGTCACTCCTGGGCTTCCGTTTGTGTAAATGTGCGCATGATGAAGACGCAGAACTTTCATGTGTGCATCTGCAAAGATCAATCTTGGCTTGTATTGTGTTAAAGCTGTCATGAGTTAATGTTGGGCGTGTCACTGTCTCTTACCTGTCCAGGTCCATGGTGCCTTCAGGACTCTGCTGTTTCCTTGGACAGCGTGAGAAACTAACCTTTGTAGTCACAACAGGTCACTCAAACTGCTCCAGGATCAGTGGGCACACCTGAAGCTCCTGGTTTAAAGCAGACGATGGACGCCCAGCTGTGCGGGTCAAATGTCTAATGTGAGCGGTACTTCGTGGTTCGGACTCGGTTTGTTTTTAGTTTGAGGGCGCGAAGAAAAGGCTCGAGCTCCGCAGCACCTGGAGAGGCAGGACAACACGGAAACCAGATCCTGCACGCTGATTGGTCAGACGGTCCGGAGCAGGTGAGACACTCGTCCTCCTATTGGTGGATATTCAGGCGAACGCCTTCACGTTAAAAAGAAAGAAACGTGCTGAAGGCCACGAGTTGAGATTTAATAAATACCTTCACGATTATCGCCTGCCGTCAATGGTGAATGCTCTGTTAGCAAAATATCCCATGAACCACATGACTGATTTCACCGCAACTTTCACAAAGTCATCATTGGTTGTATTAAAGTTCATTAACTTGAGTCAGTCCAGTAAATGAACATGAGTAAACACAAAAGTGGATAAAGCTCAGTCCATTTGACAGATGTTAAGCTCAAATTTGATGTTAGTCATCCATAACTTAACTTGTGCAAAACATTGTTTTCCAGCATTTGACCAAAACAGCCACAACTTCATCATTCGTTCAGTTCACTGAAAGAAGGTCTTGGTCTATAAAGTCCAGCATGATCTGCAGCGGGTGATATGCATTTCCTCAAGGACAGCTACATGTTTACTTTTATAACACATTTTTTAAATGTGCAGCTCAAAAGTCTTGTGATATTTCACCAATATCACTTCAACAGAAATGAATGAGATTTTTTTCAGGAGTTATCTTGAATGAACGTTCTGGACATCCATCCTGTTTAGTGCATGTAATTATGACCTCATATTTAAATGATGAACACTTCTGTTATGAGGCCCTGAGAGTAGAAAGCTGCACCGTGACATCTAGTGGCTGCTGGTTGGCATTTAATTTAGCTCCGAGCATACTAAACCTGTTTGCTACGTCGGGATAAATAATTGCTTTATGTCGCACGGCGTTTTGTGATTTTTCTACAAAAGACTTCAAAATTGTTTTTAGCACACAGTGCGAAATCTATGACGCTGCCTTTAAGTGTTGTCGGAATTTTTTATACAGTCTTTGTAAAACGCTGAGCTTTTCTGATGATCGTGAATGCAGCGCAGTGAACGCCCTGAGCATGCGCAGTAGGATATGGCTGGATGAAACCTGTTTGTTAGATGTCACTTCGGAGGCTGTCGTGATAAATACACAGCTGTTTTATTGGTGAGACGTCTACAAAATACGTTTTGATGTACTTTAACGCCGGATGTGTATCAAAACGTACTGAACTCGTTTGTATTATTCTGGCTAGTACTAGGTAGAGGTGCAGATAGCTGCCGGCTAATTAAAATGCGAGTGTTCGAAATAGTTTTATGCTATTTGAAGTATTTTAAATGTACAAAATGTAAAATGGATTAATAATGTTACTCCGGTTCCCAATAATTCATTATTTAATCGTGTCTTTTAGTTGTGTTCTCAAAATGGGACATATTGTACTTCAGCAGCCTCTTAAAGTTCTTTAACGATCTGAATTATAAAAATACTTTTAAGTGAACACGTGGTGAAATGGTACTTCTCGTTTTACTCTAAACAAAGTTCATAGAGTCAGTGATACTGGCCCACTTCTGACATTCTGTCTGCAAAACCTTAAATATCTGCAGTCTGATTATCTTCAGGGAAATTTCCATATTAATTGTTTTATCCTTGTGACCCAGAAACTGACAATTAACCCAGTTCTGAGAGATGTTTCACAGCCACAACCACCTTCATATTTGAGCTTTTGATGCGATGAGCCCACACTTCTTGGATTGTGAAACCACATTGTGCTTTAAGTCGTTCGTCATTTCTGTCACCTTCTCCAAAGTCATAGTTTGTAATGAAAGTTCTGGTCTTTGAAGTGTTAATATTTGTTAATGTGCTCATCAGATTCCTGTATCCTCCCTCAGGTGTAGCATCAGATATGGCCCGCGGGCACCAGAAGCTCCAGTCCCAACAGAAAAACGCCAAAAAGCAGGCAGAGATAAAGAAGAGCAAAGGGCATGACCAGAAAGCAGCAGCTAAGGCTGCTTTAGTATACACATGCACTGTGTGTCGGGTATGTAATAAGTAGGAGACGTGCCATTAACCAGTTTGGATCCAGCTGGGTAGATGGAGGGCTGTGAGCGTGTGTGTTCCAGTAATGAGACACAATGGTGGTCTTAATTATGGCACAAGTTTGTGTTAGGAAGTCCACTCTGAACCTCACTGGGCTGCTACTGCTGGCAACGAGTTGGTGAACAGCAATAACCAGGGAGTCTCCAAAATGTTCAGTGGAGGTCTCAGTTTCTATGCAAGCATCAGAGGCTTGCAATGTGGTGGCTTGAACCTTGAACGTGTTCAAAGACTTTGTGCAACAGGTTTTCTGTAAAGATAGTCACAGCGTCAGTGTTGTCATCATTGTCTGTTACTCATTTCAAGAGAGCTAAGGATGTATTTTAACACCTGCATGGGAACTCTCTCTGTGACCTCTGCTCCTTGTAGCCTCACTGTTCCACCGACCTCCCTCTCATTCACACACATGTACTCTCTTACTATGGCTGACTTTCATTCTCTTCTTTCAAACGCACACCTCCATCTCTCCAAATTCTCTTCCACCTGTTCCCTGTTCTCCCCATAGATCACAATAATGTCATCTGCAAACATCATAGTCCACAGGGATTCCTGCCTGACCTCATCTGTTAGTCGAGCCATCACAAGCACAAACAAAAAAGGGCTCAGAGCTGATCCTTGATGCACTCCCACCTCCACCTTGAAGCTATCTGTCACTCCTACAGCACATCTCATCACTGTCCTGCTGTCCTCATACATGTCCTGTACCAGTCTAACATACTTCTCTGCCACTACAGATTTCCTTGTGCAATACCACACCTCCTCCCTCGGCACCCTGTCATATGCTTTTTGTAAATCCACAAAGACACACTGGAGTTCTTTCTGACCCTCTCTGTACTTCTCCATCAGCATCCTCAAAGCAAAGATGGCGTCTGTGGTGCTCTTTCTTGCATGAAACCATACTGTTGCTCACAGATAGTCCCCTCTCATCTAAGTCTTGCTTCCACAACTCTCTCCCAGATCTTCATCGTGTGGCTCATCAACTTAATTCCCCTGTAGTTGCTACAACTCTGTACATCACCCTTGTTCTTAAAAATGGGCACCAGCACACTTCTTCTCCATTCCTCAGGCACTTTCTCACCCTCATATATGCCATTGAATATTTGAGTCATAAACCTCACTGCCATCTCTCCACAATATTTCCAAACCTCCACTGGTATGTGATCAGGTCCTACTGCCTTCCTTTAATTCATTATTTTCAGAACTTTCAGAACTTTACATTCTCTATTCTTTATCACTTCCTGCTCCACAGGTTCTATGACCTCTACTCTTCTTTCTCTTTCATTCTCTTCATTCATTAGCTCCTCAATATACTTCTATCTTCCTGTCACTCTCCTCACTTGTTAGAACATTATCATTCCTATCTTTAACAAGCCTAACCTGCTGCACATCCTTTCCAGCCTGATCCCTGTTTCACTAATCAATACAAGGCTTTCTCGCTTCTCACCCTCTTTAGTGTCCTGTCTCCCACACACCTGATCAACACCTTCTGCTTTGCCTTAGTTACTTCCCTCTTTGCTCTACGTCCCATCTCCTTATATTCCTGTCTCCTCTCTTCAGTCCTCTCACTGTCATATTTCTTCTTAACCTCTTTCTTTGAACGGCGTCCTGCACTTCACTATTCCACCACCAGGTTTCCTTATCCTCCATTCTCTGTCCAGATGACACACCAAGTACCTTCCTACCTGCCTCTCTTAAGTACTGTTGCTGTAGTAGTCCATTCATTTGGAAGCTTTTTCTTACTACCCTGAGCCTTTAACAGCTCCTCTCTGAATTTCTCACAACATTCTTCCTTCATCTTCCACCATTTGTTCTTCTTCTCTGATTTTACTCTTTTTCTCTTTTTCACAACAACAGTCATTCTACTCTCAACCACTCGATGCTGTTTGGCCACACTCTCCCCTGCCACAAACTTACAGTCTCCAATCTCCCTCAGGTTTCCTCTTCTACACAGAATGTAGTCAACCTGCGTACTCCTTCCTCCACTTTTATAGGTCACTCTATGTTCCTCCCTCTTTTAGAAACAGAGTCAGAGATTCTTTATTGTCATTCGCACCTCATGTGGTACATGTGGTGGAGTGAAATTATTTACACAGGGTCCAAGTTGCATCCAACAATAAAATAAAATAAAATGTATCTTTCTCCTCCCCATTACATCCAACCTGTGGAGCTCAACCACTAACGATGTTTAGCATCAGACCTTCTACTTCTACCTTCAGGCACATCACCTTATCTGACATTCTCTTCACCTCTACTACATTCTTTGCCAGCTCTTCCTTCAGGACCACCCCTACTCCATTTTTCTTTCTATCCACACCATGGTAAAACAGTTTAAACTTTTCTCCAATGCTGCGAGCCTTGGTGCTCTTCCACTTGGTCTTTTGGACACATAAAGCATCTACCTTCCTTCTCTGCATCATGTCAGCCAGCTCTCCACCTTTGCTTGTCATTGTCCGCACGTTTAGAGTTGCAACCCTCAGTCTTGCATTCTTGACTTTCCTCTTCTCCCTCTGTCTCCTGACATGTTTCCGTCCTCATGGTCTTCTACTAACAGTAGCACAATTTCCACCGGCGCCCTGTTTGTCATTAACACTGGTTGCGGTCGTCATTAACCCGGGCCTCAACTAATCCAGTATGGTGTTGCTTAGATGAACTTGCATATTAGTTTTGGCAAAAGTGTTTTACATCGGATGCCCTTCCTGTCACAACCCTCACCATTTACGCTTGAGACCGGCACAAGACGTACATGGGCTTGTGCTGGCTGTGAGCTGGTTTACACCTATAATAAAAAACTAAAACACAAAACACAATAATAAACTGTGATTTTCCAAAACTGGCTGTGCAAAACGCAGCCACTCGGCTCACCAGTCACTTGGTTGCAAACACTCAAATGTCAGTGAGACTGAAACAGAGAATAAACCATTTGTATTCACCTGTGGAAAGGCAGACGTATTATAGTACTGTATATTCTACAGTCCATCCTTAAACTTTCTTTTGTTCCAACTATATCTTCTGATCCACTCAAGATAATTTAATGAAAATATTTGATACACATGCATCATCACTGGTTGGAGTATCGCTTAATGCTTTCTTCACCCAGCTATAAGGTCAAGATCACAAATGAAGGTCAAACATATAAGGTCAATGCTTGTTGTGGCCTTTACTTTAGATGGATGAATAATAGTTTGTCAGCGGGCGTATAATGTGCCTGATGCAGTACTCATGTTTGCAGCCTTTAGTCGGTCACCAACTCATCATCAGCAGTCTCTTAGTCCAGTGACATTCTGACTTTAATAGTTTATGAGGTTATTTTAATATTATTAATTTTATGTCCATTAAATCTCACTCAGCATTCAGTGTGCAGTTAAAACAACTCCTCTTTTGAAACAGGATCACATCATCATGGATTAAATCTCTGGTCAAATCATAAGTTTTACATAAGAAGCTTTCATGAGTTAAATTGTTGCAGCCATTTTTAAAGAGCAGTACTGACTTGTATGTACATGGAGTCTACCTACAGTATTATTAATAACTTGGATAATTCTGCTTGGAACTGTTTTCTGTACAATAATTTAGAAGTATTTGCTTGTGTGTACTTGCTTTTTAAAAGTACTTTTTTATTATGGAAATTTAATGAGTTTGAATAATTGTATTTTTACTTTAATGCAGGCAGTACATTTGGTTTGACGCACCATAAGTAAAAACACTTGTCACCTAAAGTGGATTGAAGGAAACTGAGTAACGCTGGTGACACCGCTCTATTCAAATCAAACATGTTATCAGTTCACACTGGTCAGTGATGTCGTGCATTTATCATGTTTGCTTAACATAGCTTTCAGTTTTCCTCCTGTTAGGCCAGTGTTTGTAGTCTGGGCTTCAGAAAGGAGGTTTAACAAGTTGAGTTCATCCATAAACTCCGAGTTAACTTGCTTTGAGAGGGAACAACTCCAGGTTTTCAGTCCCAGAAAGGCTTTTTAATATAGTGATCACTAAACAATAAATAAACTAGTTCACAACAGTCTCAGGATTATTCAGTTATTATCACCATGAGTTATACAGGCCACATTTAGAAAAATATTAGGACAATATTTTAGACTCAAACTGCTGCTTTTGTAGGCTTGTAAGGAATAAAAATAAATAAATAAATATAAGAATTTTATGTAATTTTTTGATGGATGTGTTTTGTTAAGCTAATTTCTTCAAATTATATTTTCACACGATGAACAGACTGTTCTGATGAGCGCAGTAGATCACTATCACTGAACATCACTTGGGTCAATTATGAAAAGCAATAAAATTCATGGCACAGTGGTTTAACTGGCAGAGCTGGCGCCAGTCGCCGGTTCAAATCCCGGCAGGGGGGCCTTTCTGGGTGGAGTTTGCATTTTCTCTCCGTGCATGCGTGGGTTTTCTGCGGGTGCTCCAGTTTCCTCCCACAGACCAAAAACATGCATGTTAGACTGATTGGTAACTCTAAATTGTCCCTAGGAGTGAGTGAGAGAGTGAATGATTTGTCTTGTTTGTCTCTGTGTCCCTGTGATGGACTGGAGACCTGTCCAGGGTGTCCCCTGCCTCTCTCACAGTGATGGCTGGACGTGGACACCAGTGACCCCCATGACCCTGAAAGGAAGAAACGAGTAAAGATAATTGATGGATGGATAAAATTCAATCAAAAATATTTGTCTTTGAACTGGTGTATTTTATTTTTTAATTTACCTTTATTTATCCAGGTAGTCTCAATGATTTATGAGAACTCATTTTCAAGAGAGACCTGTTTAGGGAGCACATGGTGGGGGTTAAGGGCCTTGCTCAGGGGCCCAGAGTGGGGCAAATGAGGGTGGAGGCAGGTGTAGGTGTTTCACCTTTTCCACTCACATTTTAATGTTGACTGTACCGGGAGTTGAACCTGCAACTTTCTGATCACAGGTCCACCTTTTCTAACCTCGGTGCTACCACTCCCCTAAATGTTTAACTCCAGTCTGGGTGAGAAATCCCTCTCGTGACATCAGACACCATGAAGTAATTCTGCTTAGATATCAGATTAGTTCAGATTAACAAGTCCTGTCAGACAGCTGCTTCAGGGGGGAGGAGTCATGTCAGACAGCTGCT